AGCCAATGGCGCTGGCGGGCAGCGCTGCCGCGCGCGGAGGTGTCGCCGGGAACTAGCCTCCCACGCTTCCTCTGGCCTCCACTGGGACACTAGCCCTAAAAAAGCTCCTTGTGGTTGCAGGATGACGAGATGGGCTGGCAGTTAATGACTGACTGCGCCGGCCCTGTGTTTTGACTGCTAAATTTATTCCGTTCACACACTTTCCGCCATAACACACACACACACACACACACACAAACAACTACAGCGTCACCCATATATGCATGGTCATGTGCATACAATTATATGTGTGAATACACATACATGCACCCCTTACGCCCTGGGGTTTCTCACTGTAGCATGGATTGTCTACTCCAATGAACGCAGCAAGCCAGCAACACAGAGAGCCCCTGCTCGCTCACAGGTGACACAAGAAGGTGTTTGCAAACCTCCACGTGTGCACACACACGCACACACGCTGCAACCACATCTCTCTGCCTGTGGGGTTTAGGAGAGAACCAGCACACCCCAGATCCAGCCTGGGAGGAAGGAAGGTAACTTCCTTGCCTGCATTTGGCCATCCCTAAATCCTCTGTGTCCGCAACACCTCCTTCTCCGCTAATAAAAACACGCTGTGAGTGTAAATAAGTTGCTTTGAAGTAGGCAATGGGTCTTTGGTCTGCCAGCAGGGCCCTCCCCACAGCCAAGTTGTGGGTGGTGGGCACGGCCACAGGGTGAAGGGGCCAGGTGGAGAGGGCCTATGGGTGTTTTACTGGGGGGAAAGTGTAAATGATGGTATTGATGCCCCGTGAGGAGAGTTTCTGCACGTTCTTTCTGAGTGGGAGGAGGTATTTCTGCTGCTCTGGGTAGAAGAAAGAGGCCTTCAGACAGCAGAGCTCCCCTTGGGGAGCCGCCGTGGCAGAGGAAGGCCGTGAAACAGGGTTTGCCTTCAGTGGCAAATGGCTCCCAGCCTGTCCTGGCATAAAGCCCTGGCAAAACAGTTACCTGCGATGGCCCCTTGGTGTAGGGACCAAATTCCTAGAGGTGGGGGCACAGACCAGGGGATGTGATGAGGGCTGCAATTTTACAGAGATTCACAGGAGATGCTGGTGCTGCAAAATAAGCAACTTCAGGAAACTTGAGCAGGGTCAGGATTGAGCCACGATCTGTAAACCGCAGATTATCCAAATTAGCCTGGGATGCATCCAGAAAGCATCGCCCATGCTGTGACACCACTGAGGCTCAACAGAGCATCTTGTGAAACCAGACATGTCAGCCTGCTGTTCTGGATGTCTTCTTGACTTCATCCTCCAAAATCTCTCAACTTTTCCCTCTATCATTACCAGCCAGGGGACTGTGCCTCTCTGTCTTGTGAGGACCATGCAAGGACCACGCAGGTGCCGAGTGTGATGAGCATCTTTTATCTTTTTCCTCCTTCCCCTCATGCAGGGAGTCTCCAGTACCGCCTCAGCCCTGCTGCTCTCCCCACAGCCCCTTGGCCTCAAGATGAGCACCATCAAACCACTCGCTCTCATGCACGCGCACACTTTTGGAAGATGTTTTCCCTCTTCTTCCCTACCCAACCCCTGCTGCAGATACCGTGGGATGTATTTTCCTCTTGACTTGCAACAAAATTATACCCCTGTCCCTGGTCAGATATGAGTTCATGTTGCCAACCTTTTTTAGGCACCTCCAACAATTACCTTTTGTTTTGTTTTGTTTTGGTTTTTTATGTCAAACCTGCATTTAACTCAGCCCCCAAAGACCCGGTGCTGTCTCGCATCAAGTGCCACTGTTCGAGAAGGGGATAAACACCAAGCTGTGTGTGCCTGGCTTTTTTGTAACACAGGTCACTCAATGCCCCACCAGCCACCTGGCCAGGCTCACCTCCCTCCCCTCTGGTGGCTCCGAAACACCTGTGGCACCAGCACACCCAACACTGATCGCTGCCAGCATCTTGACCTGACCCCAAGTCCCTGAAATCTCCAATAGCCCTAGGTCAAAAGACCAAGGTCTGTCCCCCAAATCTTTCCAGAGGGCATCCTGCAGCATCAGACAGACTGCACAAGCAGCTCTGCCTGTGTTTTGCAAGGGAAGGAAGCCCCAGACTACACAGTAACCTTACAATAAGCCTTTAAAAAAAATTCAAACCAATAATATTTAGGATTATTGTTCTCATATCAGAGGTGAGAAATGGACTGAGGGTGGGGGAAGCGGCTGTCTGACCGGTGTTTTAAATACCACAAATCCAACTTTCCTGAGATGCTCTCCACAAATCAAGTTCTCCTGGTGGTAGATGGGACAGGAAGCAGCGGGGCAAGGAAGATGGGGGAAATCTGGCCAGGCTAAGGCTGGCACCTTCAGGCTACTGGGGAGGACATGAATGAATCGAAGATGAGAAGACTGCCAGGGCTGGTAAAATGGTGCAGGAGTATCACTTTTCTGTTTGACTGGGTGGTGTTCATGAGGGTAAAGAAGATATGAGTGCAATCAGCAGGAGGGATTAAAGATGCCAAAACCAAGATAGAAGTTGGCACTGTGGAGAGCAAGCTGACAGTGAAGGAACAGAACAGCTGCTCTCCTTCACCAAATGAGACATCTCAGCATCGAAAACTCAGGAAATTAATACTGTTCCAAAAAAACACTGTTCCCTACCTTTTTTCAGGGCCATGGTATTTTCATAGTATTTATGTTGCTGGTTCACTTCTCTCCTGATTATACCTATGGGTTTTGACAGCAGCAGCAAATGGAAAAGGATCAGTGAGTGAACTGGAGCAGGAGTGACCAGGATGAGAGCAGGACTCAAGGCACATGTCTTTGTCCCTTTCCCAAGCACTCAACACTGGCTCCTGGCTTATGCTCAGATTCCTCAGATCCACATCCAAATCTCTTTGCTGAGTGCTTACTGGTGACAGATGCTACAATGCAGTGCTTCATTTTCAACTGGAAGCTGGTAGGAAGCACCTTGCCTCCCAAATACTCGTTTCTCCAGTACCTGCCATGTTAGTACCAGGAATTATCCAGTATCCAGTCCCAAAGGATTCATTTCTACACTGCTCCTGTAAAAGAGGATGCTTACCCTTGCAAACCAGCCAGGTTCCCTGCTTTGCAGGTGGACAGACCATCACAGGGGCAAGAAGCAGCCTGGCTTCAGCTCTTCCACACTTGCAAGGGACCTGAGCAAAGGTGTCAAGCCTATTCACTGAAATCTGAGTAAATATTACTTGCATTTCATAGCATAGATGTGACACAAAATATAGCAGCTAATGATAACATTTTAGATGTTTGAAGAATAGTATTGATATTTCAGCTCCACCGAGCAAGAAACCTCAAAGTTACAAATGCCGTGATATACCGCGGATAGAAGTTACCATCGTGTTTTTCACAGCACGGAGGGGTGCGCAAGTTCGGTTTATGCTAAGCCTTTAAAATTTACTATTTCTCCTCACTGAAAAAAAAAATATTATAGGAGCATGAATCCTGGACCCCTAAATTTCAGGCACAGACGGGGCTCCCTTAGCACTAGATCCTTGCACAAGACCAGTAGCCCTCTCCCCTAAGCCCCTCGACAGCACAAGAGTAGGATCATTCATCCACCCTTCAATGTCTGCCATGGAGTTTCTTTACAGACAGAGAAAACAAGTGCTTTTAATGCAGCAATTATTTGCCCTATTTCAGATACCTATTTCAGGCTGAAACGCATCACAGGCTGTTTGAAGTTTCCATGACACTGCCAAAGGAAGGTGACCGGTGTGCTGATCATGTCCTACTGACAAGATGCATCATGCTCTTTGCCAACACAGGAGCAAGGCAAGATCCCCAAAACCCTCTCTCCCTACCTCCCACGCCAGCCTCACACTCCTTTCACTTCCATTTCTAGCATTTTTATACCACCCCTCTCTAAGCAACAGGCTCCAGGCTCTTTGCAAATGTTGTTCCTTCAGAAGAAAATGTCACACAGAAGCATTTGCCAAAACTCGAGCTGTGTCTAGTCTAAAACCGCCGCCCCCGTCTCTCCTGGAGGCTGCAGACAGATGGGCTGGACAGTAAGGGCCCAGCCCTGCAGGCTGGTCTCTGAGCAGGGAGAAAATACTTACTCTTGAAAATAAAAACAGCTATGGGAGTTAGGTGAGTACTTTTTCCAGATGCAAGATGTGCTCATCTAACAGGTCCCGGCTCCAGTTCTTTTACAGGAGACAAGAGTGCTATTAGTGAATAATTGGGTGTGCTCTATTGCCAGCTGCTCTTTTTTGGGCACACTCAACTTTCTCAAATGTCTGCAACAGCCAGGAAGTACAAATTGAGGTTCTTAGTCCTTTGCACTTAGATTTTTTTGGGACAGGACAAGGGTGGTCCCTCTGCAGCCCCCATTCCTCCTCACCACATCTCCATGCACATGGCTCCAGCCTCTTCTGGGCAGGGAACTGAAAAACCAGCACATCACCTTGACAGTCTGTTGGACGAAGGCTCACAGGGTTTGTACCTGTTTTGCACTACTTTGCAGCTTGCGATTCTACTTGTTGCTGGAGCGAAATGCATGAAGCTGCAATAGGTATTCATGTTGTGCCCACTGCAGCTGGAAGCTGTGGCTGGCCAGGTACCTTGTGCCATCTCTTCCAGATGTGTGAGACCAGGTTCTCAGGTCCTATAAATCCAGGTTCATCAGCCACCTTGGCTGAATTTGCTACAATATCTTGAGCTGTGGACCAGATGCCTAGTTTCTGTCAGATCTAACACATCTTCCTGCACACAGCCACTACTGCAGCTTGCTGTCCTCCATCAGAGTAAGGACGGGGACAGACACCTGGCTCTGCCCTACATTGGGGACCAGTATTGACACTGCTGGCATGGGGACTGGGCAGCCCCAGTGCGATTGCACTGTCAGTAGCTCAGGACCAACAGCAGTAATCATAGCAACAGCAATGGGGAACTACAGCTCCTCAAATTTCATTTAGAGTACAATATCTTCTACAGTC